TCCGTCCTTGCACAGGACGATACCCCTGCGGGCGCACTGGCGCACGTATCCAGGGAGGGGGTAAGTTCCTTGTCGCCAGTCGCTATCGCCCATTTGGGCGCACTTTTAGTGCTAATTTTGGGCGAAGAGATAACTGGGACAGGAACAGGAGGGGAAATGCGATCGCTTACCGTGCTATTATTCGACAACGTCACAGAGCTCGGGCTTTTCGGCTCTGGGGACGAAGCGGCACTGATGGCGTCCGCTCGGGACTCGGGTCCATACTGCTCCTCGGCCTGGGCGCCGAGCACAGAGGTTGGCATGCCTTTCCGTACGTAGCGCCCTGGCCGAGGCGGCTTGCCGCGGCGGCCCGCCGCCCAGCGGGCGGCGCACCTCACCGAGGCGAGCACGGGGGTCTCTTGCTTTGTCCCCGCGGCCTCTCTCCCACAAGGTGCGGTGAGAGGGCCGAGGGACGGGGACGGGGCTTTGCCGGCCGGACAAAATTGCCCGTCCCCCACCCCGTCAGCAAGGCAAACTCGCTTTTGGGGTGGGCAGCCCTCAGTACCCATCAAGGTGGCGCACGCCACATGCAGAGGCACCGGACGCGCCGCGGTCGCAGTTAGGACCGTCTCGGGACAGGAAAATGGGGTGCGCAGTGAGTTGTTGTCAAGAGTGACTACTCCTTTAGGTCCCACTCTCAGCTCATGGCAAATTCTCACCGGCTGGTAGATCATCGCCGCCCTTACACTCATGCACTCCATGAGCTGATAGGGTAGCTTGACGGGGTGCTCCAACAACAGCCCGTCAGACCCACGCTTAATCATGATGGTTTTCTCCCCGGGGTCGGGGCAAAGGTCGTGGGAGTAGATGAAGTTATGCCCCAGCACTACATCATGATCCACGTCTCCGACAAAAGCCATCACGAAAAAGTCTTTTCCTCCAATTACCAGAGGGAGTTTCACTGGGCCTCGCAGAGGCTGCGTGCCGCGGTTTATGCCCTTCAAGCGCCACGAGGAGGGCTCTGGGAGCTCCCTCACGGCCCTGTAGGAGGCAATGGTGATCACGGCTCCGTGGTCTACCAAAGCCTTCGCAGGGCGGCCGTCTGCGAGGAGGTCGATGCAGGGAGACGGTACAGAGAGGGGCAAGCTCGACTCTGTCTGCGGCGCCACGGGTCGCTCTGGGGCAGCGTTACCCGCGGCTGCAGTTAGTTTTTTGCCTCCTTCTTAACCTTTTTCCCTCCCTTCTCTGCTGCTGCCTTCTCTGCTAGCCATTTGCGACACATTCTTTTAAGGTGTCCCGTACGGCCACAGTGGAAACAATCAGCATTTTTCCACCAAGGGAAACCCTTTTTCTCCTTACTCTCCTCTGGAGAGTCCTCACGCTCTCCATCGCGGTCGCGACGCCCAGCAGAGCGGTCTGGGGAGCGATCTCTAGAGCGGTCTCTCCTCGAGGCGCGGTCTGGGGAGCGGTTTCTGGAGCGGTCTCTCCTTGAGGTGCGCTCCGCCGAGCGATCTCGCCCGCTCTCCCGCTCGCTTCTCCTTTGACGGTCTCGGTCTTGCTCTCGCTCAAGCAGCCGCTCCTGCTGGACAGAGAGGGAGTGGACCGTCTCCGTCATAGTGTTGACAGCGTTTACGATGGCGTCCGTAACGCGCCTGTCGGGTTGGTCGGGGGCCTGTTCCTCCTCACTGACCTCAGCCGCATGCACACGTGCGTGTGCTTTAGCTGGCTGCAGATGGAGCATCTGGGGTGGCCGGACGCGCGCTGATTCCAGCGCATCGTCCAGTCTCTGATGCCTTTCCTTTGTCAGTAAAAGGGCCATCGTTTGGTCGGATAGACCCTCGATGAAGGCGCCGACCATCTGCTGCTGCAGCAGGTGCTCCGGGTAGGCCGGGAACGCACCGCGCACAGCGTCTTCAACCTCAATCGAGAAATTCTCCAGAGGCTGGCCGGGCTTTAGTCGCAGTGACTTCAGATGGGCCCTACAGACGTTAACATCTGTCACCCTCCCGAACCGTCTCTGGAGAGCACTGTCTAGAGCAGTGAAGTCAGTCATCTGGTTTGGCTTCAGGTGGCGCAGCACCTCCCGCGCCTCGTTCGTGAGGAGCGAGGACAGTTGACTGCCCTTTGTTTCCTCACTCCAGTTCATCTGAGAGGCGTGATGCAGGAACTGCATTCTATAGAGACTGTAATCGCTCTGCCCGTCGAACTTGTCCAGGCGCCTGAGCGCGGGCGCGGGGGCGGGCGCGAAGGCAGAACCTGCGGCCGCGCTTGCAGCTGCACACTGCCCAGGTGCTCCCGCTCCGTTCGCTCCCGGCGCTCGGAACATCGAGACAGAGGACCTGCTAGACTCATACTCGCGGTGCCTTTGTTGCTCAGCTGGCACTTCTCTTTGAGGCGCTCTCGAGTACGAGCGACTATCTCTCTCACGCCTTCTCGCGGAATGCGCACGCCGGCGGCGGGGCGGTGAAGCAGCACTTGCCCTGGAAGCTGAGCGCCTGTCTCTCCGCGAGGAGGGAGAGCGGCTTGGCCTGCGTCTGCGGCCAGCAGCAACCTGCCCTGCACGTTGTGCGTGCGGGCGGCGCACTGAGCTCGCATTCGACCTAGCTGAGGACGGCGAGCGTCTGCCTCTTCGCGCCGGGCGCCGCGAGCGGGACCGCGAGCGGGACCGCGAGCGGCGGCTCCCAGCTTCACTTGAGGATGGGGAGGATGGTGGCGAAGGCGAGTGCCTTCCTCGGCCTCCCCGTGCGCGCACGCGCCTGTCTGGGGTGAAGCGCACGACGGAGCGCGAGCGTGAACGCGAGAAGGAGCGTGCTCTCCTGTGCCGTGGCCTCACTGGAGGCCTACGGGCGTAGCTGCTCTCTGACGCGATGGACTCCGAGTCACTGCTCGGGCCTGACGACGGGGAGCTGGGTGAGCGGTGTCGCCACCCCCTCCGCGCGTCGTGCCGCTCTGCAGCCTCAGACCGTTCTCTCCTTTCACAGCGGGGGCTGCGGGGGACCTCTGACCGGGAGCGAGGGCAACTGAGTTGCCTCTCGTTCCTAGCAGCATGCCTGCCGACCTGCTGGTCGTGGGCATTCCCTCCCCTGGAGGACATCGACCTGGCGTCACGGCGTCCATACGCGTCTCGGCCACTTCTCTCGCTTCCTCGCCTGCCTTCCTCCCTTTCACCTCTCACTACAACTGGTACATTGACATGGCCTTCCCTTTGTCCGCGGTCGTGTCGGGGCTCCGAGTCTCCTCGAGCTACCTCGCCTGCGTCTCTCTCCCGGTGCCGCGGGAGGGAATGACCAGCTGAGTCTCCGCTGAGTCCTCTGCTAGTCTCCCTCTCCCTGCGGTCCGGGAGGGAATGACAAACCCTCTGGGGAGCTGCTCTTCCCGAGCACATCGACACAGACCTTGGCCGTTGGGGCGGCACGTTTGTCTTATCGCCCCCGAGTATGGCGTACATGATCTCTGACCTGGCAGGCGTGCGTACTCGGACAGGGCTCACGTCTGCCTCCTCAACTGAACGACGCTCGCGGGCGTCTCCTCCGTGACCGCTGGGATGGCTCCCGCCTCGGCGAGCTTGGCTTGCCGGGCGAGCATCGTACTGGTCCGCAGGACCGGTCAGGAGTTCAGTACGGGGCCTTTGAACTGGAAAATTTGGTGCGTCCCCTGCGTCCCTTCTTGGCGTGGGGTCCCTTGGGCGGGAAACAGAGCAGGAGGGGCCAGCGGCTTCGCGCACAGCCTGGCGGGGAGCGGCACAGGAGCTCATGGCGTCCGGAGCCCGGTCGTTGCCCTCAGCAGCACGACGCGCTGGGGCGCGCGGCGCGGCGGCGCGCCGGCGGTTATTTCGCGCCATTTTTCCGTTCAGACACTAAAAACACTTCACTGCACTTATCACTTCACTGCACTGATCACTTTTCACTTTCTTCCTTACTCACGACCCTAAAATACAGCGGCACTGCGACTCAGCGGCGATGCACTAAACACAAACGCGAGAAAACGAAGCAGCGACGCAGCGGCGCAGCGACGATGGCGCGACCGTTACAAGAAAGGCGTCAGTTTCCTGAGCGTCCCTTTTGCAGGCTGCGAGACCGAGCTGAAAAGAAAGGGGGAAAGGGAAGGGGCTTCTCTCTTTTCCAATCTTTATTCACGGCCGAAATTCGGCTTGCTTTTGGCGGGCAAGCCGACGCTTGCCTTTGGCCACCGGCCCTAGCAACAGCCTCCTCCTCTCTTACCGCTTGACCGCTGCCACCACTGTAATAAAGCTGCCCTTGGGGTCTTACGGCTTATACTTGGAGGCAGGAGGAGGTCAAGGGATAGGCAGAAGTACTGGTAGGAACCGTTTATTGGCAACTAGGCAAGTCTCTCCACAAACACACACAAGACTCTGGTAGCGTACGAGAGCGGACTGCGCGTCCACTCAGCAGCGCGGTTAGAACTCAACTGCCGGCCCGGCCGGGCTCGGCTCCTCGGCTCCG